ATCAACCGATGAAGAGTATGTCCTAAATCCTGTCTTGTGTCCGGGCTACCTCCTGAGTTCCCACTGTCTACTTGACATCTTTTTCACTCAAACAACCTGGAAAGCTGAGAATGTCATCTCTTCCTCCTGAAGTTGGCTCCTCTTCCTGTGTTTCCTACGTCCATGGAAGGTGCTACAGTCCAAATGAAAGTTGAGCTTCACTCAGATCCTCCTTTCCCGTCACCCCTCGTGGCCAATCACCCATCTAAGTCTTGTCAAGTCCACCTTTTTTAGCATCTCTTTTAAACAGGATCTCGTAGCTCTCAACTAGATTGTTGAAATAAACTCCTAACTCTTCCCTGCGCCTCCCATCTCTCTTCCCTCTAACTGACTTCTCTGGCTGCTATCAAAGTAATTTTTATGAAACAAAAATGATTATGTCACTTCCAGCCTAGAATATTTATAGTTCCAGTAGCTTTCTTACTCTGACAGACAGCACCCTTTGTGATTGCCTGATCGCACTGAGAGCCTAGAGCAGGCCAGGCTAATTAATTATTGGGAAGACAGTGATAAACAAGAAGAAACCAAACAAAGAAACAAACAAGCTTGCCCACCCCTTTTTCTGAGATCATGCTACCACCGTTTCTCTCTCTCAGATATAATTACCGTAGCATTCTACACTGAATCTTATCCATCAACATAAAAAAAAACAAACTGGGTTCAATCCCCAGTACCACAAAATACAAATAAATACACACATGTTATTGTTATTATTTTTGTGAGATGGGGGGGTCTTACTATGTAGCTCGGGCTGACTTAGACTGAACTCACTACGTCACCCAGTCTGGCCTCAAACTCACAGGGATCCTTTTGCTTCAGCTTCTCTAGTGCTGGGATTTTAGGTGTGTCCCACCATGCCTACCTCAGAAATAAATAAAAACGCTTCTTCATTTCTCCTCAGTTTTCACTCCCAAGCTAGGAAGCTCCAGGGTCTCAGCCCCGCCCCTGAAATTGCTCCCACACACTCATTAATAGCAGTTCCCCGATGGTCCCACTTCGCACTGCCGGCCGCTCCCTCCCCAGCTTCCCCATTCTCTCTTCTGTGGCTTCTCCTCCCCCTCCTTTGTCAGCTCTTCTTTTGCTCACAAAAGAAACTGTGTCAGCTCTTCTTTTGCTTACCAGAGAAACTTTCTCAGTGTGCCACATTTCTGTCCTTGGCTCTCTCTCCTCTTTCTCCTTTCTTTCCCTCCCCGCTGTGTAGTCCAGACTGGGCTCAAACTCACAATTTCTTGCCTTAGCCTCCCCAGTGCGGGAGTTCCAGGCCTGAGGCACCACACCTGGATCCATATTTTATCTTAACCTCGGGTCTCTGGTGCAACTTCTTAAATTATAGGGAAAAAGGCACGTACATTTGCATATTTTCCTGGGAGAGAGACTAAATAAAGCTCTCAACAGTTTAAAGCATCAACCGATGAAGAGTATGTCCTAAATCCTGTCTTGTGTCCGGGCTACCTCCTGAGTTCCCACTGTCTACTTGACATCTTTTTCACTCAAACAACCTGGAAAGCTGAGAATGTCATCTCTTCCTCCTGAAGTTGGCTCCTCTTCCTGTGTTTCCTACGTCCATGGAAGGTGCTACAGTCCAAATGAAAGTTGAGCTTCACTCAGATCCTCCTTTCCCGTCACCCCTCGTGGCCAATCACCCATCTAAGTCTTGTCAAGTCCACCTTTTTTAGCATCTCTTTTAAACAGGATCTCGTAGCTCTCAACTAGATTGTTGAAATAAACTCCTAACTCTTCCCTGCGCCTCCCATCTCTCTTCCCTCTAACTGACTTCTCTGGCTGCTATCAAAGTAATTTTTATGAAACAAAAATGATTATGTCACTTCCAGCCTAGAATATTTATAGTTCCAGTAGCTTTCTTACTCTGACAGACAGCACCCTTTGTGATTGCCTGATCGCACTGAGAGCCTAGAGCAGGCCAGGCTAATTAATTATTGGGAAGACAGTGATAAACAAGATAAGGAAAGAGAAAGAGGAAAGGAGAAAAAGTGAGCGTAAAGGAAACACTTCAAATGTAAAATATCCCAAGACCAATTGGCCTTCTGTAAAAATTTTGTAATTTACCTATCGCTGTAAAATTAACTCGTACAGCAACCCATTAGCACCCAACTTGAGGACTGCTCAACACTTTATGAAAATGGACTGCATGACTTCGAGGCTGCCGTGGTCCCCTCTCCTTCTGTGCTCTTTCCCTCCTCTCTAGCTGGTCCCCTCTGCAGCTGGTACTCTCTTGAGAGACACCAACAGATGAGCCTGAAAAGCAAATGAAACCTCCAAGGAGGAAGACTAAAGTGAACACTTTTAGCCACGAGTTACAGGGCCGAAAGATGGGGAAACCAGTGGTAGCGTCCACCCTTCCTCTCAGAGACCATCAGCAGCCCTGCAAGCGTCTCTTCTCTTTTAGGTTCCATGAGAAGCTTCTAGAGCACAGGCAGCTGTGTCCCCAGGCATGTGTCTGGATTTTGCCAGATGTCAGAGAGTCACTTGAGACAGAGCACTGGCATGACCGCCCGCTTTGGTTCCATGTACCTCTCTGATCCTGTGGGGAGAGGCTGCAGCAGGAACACCTATGGGACTCAGCGGATGGCAGTGTGGACAGCCAATCATCTCCACCCAGGAGCAAAGCAAAAGGCAACTGATAAAACCTGAGCAGCGATCGTTGTAAGATCCTGGGCTGGAAAGGGTGCTGGCCCAAAGCAAGGGTCAGCAGGCCCTGTGCCAGCCCCACCTCTGTTCCAGCCCTGCTGAGCTCACTTCCCCATGCCTGCCTGTCTCCTGCTGGCTGAGCTGGCTGAGGCCCACCCACGTGTTGGCTAGGAACCCACCAGGGGAGCAGCATTACCAGGCAGTCATTTCATTTTGCCTGGGACTTGGGCTAATGTGACAGCAGAGTGGGGATTAGAGTAGGGTGGGTGTGTGTATGTGGTGTGACGGATTTTTTTAAAAATTACAATAACAGCCATATAACCAATCGTCCCCCCATCAGAATACTCCCTCTCACTTCAAACATACTTATCCCATTGCTCTTGCCACTTTCTGAAGCAGTTCTGGGACTAGGGGTGTGGATCAATCACAGAGCATTTGCCTCAAGCAGTTCCGGAAGTCCCCTTTGTGAGGTTTTCAGCTGTGCTGTCAGGGCTGCCTCTTTGTCCTAAATCAGTTCACAATGTTCCTCTTTCGTGGTCATTTTTACTTTGAAAAGGAGCCACTAGCCACACAGTGCCAGCTCCAGTGAATAAGGTAGATGAGGACAGACCATAATGGTTTTAAGAGCCTGCCTTTCCATTAGATGACACTCAGTAGCAGAACTCACCATTTGGTTTTGCTTTGGTACCAGGGATCAAACTCAGGACCTTGCGCATTCAAGGCAGGCTCAGTGCCACACGGCACTTCACCATTTTTTAAATCACACCTCATAAAGACACTCAGGAAAGAGGATTTCCAGAGCTGCTTCAGAAAGAATCGGGAAGGGCCAAGGATTTAGCTCAGTGGTTCTGCTGCCTGCCTCAAAGGTGCAAGGATCAAGCTGGGCGAGGTGACACATGCCTGTAATCCTAGTACTCGGGAGGCTGAGGCAGGAGGATCACTGTGAGTTGGAGATCAGGCTGGGCTACATAGTGAGTTCCAGGTCAGTTTCAACTACATAGTGAGACCCTGTCTCAAAACAAAACAAAACAAAAAAAGTACAAGGATCTGAGTTCAGTCCCGGTACCAAAAAAAAAAAAAAGAAAAAAAGAAAAAGAAAGACAGTACCAAGAGCAATGGACTGTGTTTGGCATGAGGGGTAGTACTTTGAAGGGGGTTGAGTATCAATGTGCCATTTACTATAGTAAATTTTTTAAAAATTCAAAATATATTTTGGTCACACTTCATACATGCTGAGGGTGGACTGGAAAGAGAAGAAGAGGCTAACAATCTTAGCACTTCCTGGCCACCTGCTGCCACCTTTCTGGTAAGGAGCTCTGGTGATATAGGGGGAATGATGCAACTCCCAAACCTGCTAGATATCCAAAATGTGATTTTGTGTCTCTAAAATTGAAGAATGAATTCTAGGAACAGCAGAGGTTAAAAGCAGGAAAAACATATTGAGAAAAAGAGACAGAAAGATGACTGGAAAGTGGGTTGGTCACCTGCTCGACCTGCTTTTCAAAGGTGTTTTATGGGACAAAGCCATGAGGCGGGTACAAAACTACAGTCACCAGTAAGTTTACAATTACAGCAGCTTAGGTAATATTGGTCCGATGGGAAGTCACGAGATAGACATGAGGTAGGACAGCACTATGATCAATCAATAAGATTACAACAAGTATAGTAACAGGTAATATTGATTAAATGGAGATAGATCAAACAGGGAAACAAGTCACATAGCAAGTACACAAGGAGGGAACAAGAATTTTCGGTGAGGGATGGGTCAGGGATCTTTCCTGGAAGGGATGGGTTAAGGTCTTGGTTCCCCACAAAGCTGATTGATACCTATTTAGAATATCAATCACTGCATTTCCTCCCTAGCAGAAGTATGTGGGTGTAGTGGTTTCTCTCTTTTTATACTGCTAACTGGTAAATGTATCTCAGTTGTTTTTCTATGCCGAGGGCCCAACTTTGTCTAATTGCTTTATAACAATTTCTAACTAACTTAGCTATTTACAATACTGGGATCCTACCCTGGTGACATTGGGGCCAAGATTCCTGGGTAGACCCAGGAGACAGGATAGACATCCTGAGATGGCCAAGGGAGCACTGTGATGGCTCCTTTGTTCTCCAGGTGCTCAGTGAGGTGCAGAGGGTCAGAACCACCTTGATTCTCCTCCGGGCTCTTCCCCTCCTGCTTCTGCCCTGTCACAGGGCTCACTTGTCAGACTTTGGATTCAGAAATCAGATGATGTTCCCGGAAAAGGAACCCAGTGAATGAGGTAATGGGGTTGGGGGAAAGGCTATTTATTTCCTCTCTTCTAGTCAGCTAGGTCCCTTGCCAGCGCCAGCTATCTGTGGTTACTCGTCACTCCAGTGCAGCAGTATGCGGCATCCGCTGTCACCATTGGCTCTGCTACTTCTAGGTAAGTCTGGGTCACTGTGTATAAGGAAGAAGTTAAGAAGCCCTGGGTTTGGCACCCTTTTTGGACCAGGGGTGGGATAAGCTGCCTGAGGGCTGGAAAGGAGCAGAATTATGGTCTGATAAGTGCGTCATCAGGGCTGTAAGGGGATTCGGAGAGCAGTTGTTAGCCCTGTGGGTCTTAGTTTCCCTGTGTGTAAGCAGAAGAGCACAAATTAGATGGACCCTAAGGTCTATCTCTTCCAGTCCAATGCGCCAAAGTTCCCCTCTAAGACTTAATTGAGTTAAGGTTGTTCCTGTGGCTTGATCTGAGGAAATTCCATGTCTATCTTTCATTCCAGAGTTGTTTTTGGTTTTGGGTTTTGTTGCTGTTGTTGTTGCTGTGGGGTTTTTTTTGTACTGGGGAATCAAACTCGGGCCCTTACACTTCAGAGGCCGTGGAACCACTGAGCCAAATCCCCAGCCCTCATTCCTGAGTTTTAACAGGGAATGGGGAGTAAGGGAACAGAGTCAAAAATGGAACTTAGGTGGCCTTGTGGCAGGAGACACAGTCATTGGAGACCAGAGGACAAGCAGCAGGAGAGGCAATCACTCTAAATACCTTAATTCTTGGGAACCCAGGGCTGCCAGGGCATGTGTTCTAATTCCTCACTCTGCCTAATACCTGATTCATATGTGGTTTTTTTTTTTCCTTGCAGTTTCATCTGTCACACAAGCTGGTGAGTTTATTTCATAGTCTTAGATTGACCAAATGGGGCACACATGGGCAGGGGAAATTGACCATCAGTTGGAAAATTACCAGGTGGGGCAGATGGCACGCTGCCCAATATCTGATTCATGTGTTTTTTCCTTGCAGTTTCATCTGTCACACAAAGTGGTGAGTTTATTTCATAGTCTTAGATTGACCAAATGGGGCACACATGGGCAGGGGAAATTGACCATCAGTTGGAAAATTACCAGGTGGGGTAGAGGGGACAGTGCCCTCAACAGCGGAGCTTGCTCCCGTGCTTCTCTGGTTAGTTTTCCTTAGGCTTCAGTGCAGGCCAGAAATGGAGCCAAGAGCCCGCAGCCAAGACGCTCTCAGACCGAGTCACCCACCGTATGTGTGCAGTGGGCTGGCTCTGGCTCTACTTTGCCCTGGGAATGCTAGGGTGGACCTGCTCACTCCTCGCTCCTCATTCTCCGTTCTCTTGGCTCCTCAGCGGGTCACGGAAAGTCTGTGGTGCTCCTAGATCCACAGTGGGTCCGAGTGCTCCGGGATGACAATGTGACTCTGACGTGCCAGGGAGACTACCCACCAGGGGCCAATTCCACACACTGGTACCACAACGGAACACGCATCTCAAACCAGGCCTCCAGCTACCTCATTCAAGCTGCCAGAGTGGAGGACAGTGGCAAATACCAGTGCCAGACCGGCCTCTCCACACTCAGTGACTCAGTACGGCTAGAAGTCCACACCAGTGAGTGACGGAATGCTGCTGTGAGGGTCCTTCAGTATTCCTACAGCAGTCTGTTCCTTCAGAAGTTTATCTTATTTCTTAAGGGGCACATCATCATTTTCAAATACACTTTCCCTCTTTGGTCTACAATTTATTGTGATTCCTTATTAACTGCCAAAGTGAATCCAACCAAGTCCAACACTTAAAACACAGTAATCCCCAGCCTTGCTTCTCATTTTCCTCATTTTTAGCTTTTCTGCTCTAACTTTATGTTCTGCTCACATGCGTGTGTGTGTGTGTGTGTGTGTGTGTGTGTGTGTTTACCTCATTTGACAAAAGTTTTCGGTGTGAGCTCTTTTGCAGGGCGCTGTCAGCTTTTCCCAAAGAAAGCTTTGTTGAGATGTCCCTCTGTCTGGCTTTTCATTGTGTCCTGGGATCTAGCTGACAAATGTCCCTTTTACAAGAGCCCTGCCCGAGCCAGGCATCACCTGCATTAACATGGTGGTGCAGGCTTGTAGCCCCCAGCACTCTGGGAGGCTGAGGCAGGAATATCAAAAGCTCAAACCCTTGCCAGGAATTTTGCTCAGTGGTTCTGCTGCCTGCCTCCCAAACACAAGGTCCCGAGTTCGATCCCAGTTAAAAAAAAAAAAAAAAATCAAACCCATGCTGGGAAAGCTAGTAACTTAGTGAGACCCTGTTTTAAAAATTATAAATAGCTGGGCGTGGTGGTGCACACCTGTAATCCCAGCACTTAGGAGGCTGAGGCAGGAGGATTGCTGTGAGTTCAAGACCAGCCTGGGCTACATAGTGAGTTCCAGGTCAGTCTCAACTACCTAGTGAGAACCTGTCTCAAAAACCAAAAAAAATATATAAATAAATAAGTAGAGTTGGGATATAGCTCAGTGCAAAAGCCCTGGCTTTTATTCCCAGGGCTGAAAAAACCCAAGAACCTTGTGTTGAAAGTGGAGGCCAGAACGTGAGGTCTCTCTGTGTCTTTCAGCCTGGCTGGTGCTCCAGACCTCTAAGTGGGTGTTCCAAAAGGGGGAGCTCATTCGGCTGAGATGCCACAGCTGGAAAAACAAGCCTGTGTACAAAGTCACCTACATACAGAACTGCAAACCACAGAGGTTTTTTCATAAAAATTCTGAATTCCACATCCCAGAAGCCACACTCAATCACAACGGCTCCTACTACTGCCGGGGGCTCATTGGATATAACAATAAATCTTCAGGAACTGCGGATATCATCGTTCAAGGTGAGAGTGGTGCAGTCCTGGGACTGGGAAGGTGAATTGGGGGATCCCTGACTCCACAGACTTCCTAATACTGGGTTCCCACCCAGAGATTTACAGAGACCCTGAAGGGCTCTGACTACTGGACAAGCTTGGGGTTCTGCTCCAGCCTGTTCCTAAGGGGTGGCTGAGAGTTGCCTTTCACCCTGCAGCATGACAACAGGAGTAGAAGCCACATTTGCTTCATCAATTACGGTACTTAGCCAGGTGTAAAAGCAGGTGTGGTGGTACACACCTGTAATGCCAGCACTCAGGAGGCTAAGGCAAGAGAACTGCTATGAACTGAGTACGAGGGCAGCCTGGGCTACATAGTAAGCTCAAGACCAGACTGAACTGGTATGCTTGTTTGGTTGGGTTTTGGTTTTTTGAGACAAGATCTAGCTCTACAATTCAACCTGGCCTTGAACTCACTATGTAGTCCAGGCTGGCCTCAAACTCGCAGTGATCCTCCTACCTCAGCCTCCTGTTTGCTGGGAATACAGGCATGCGCCTCCATGCTGGCTTTATCGCTAGTTTCTATAGTAACAGGGTCAGAGATCTACATCTAGCATGGTGCTTGCTTGCTGTTCTCTGATGTTCTGATGTTGCAGAACTTCTGCCTATAACTGGACTCAAATGTAAATTGGAAGCAATTTACAATTGTAAATTTTTTTAGAGCTTTTCTTTGTTTGCTATTTTGTTTGGTTTTGTGTTTCTGGTACTGGGAATTGAACCAGGGTCTTTGCACTGAGCTACATCCCCAGTCCTTTTTTTCTTTTTTGTGACACAGGGTCTTGCTAAGTTGCTTAGTTATTCAAGTTGGAATACAACTTGCAATCCTCCTGCCTCAGCCTCCTCAGCCTCCCAGAGTGCTGGAATTTTAAAGGCAGGGCCTGGGATTTAGCTCAGTGGCGTCTCACAAGCACAAGGGCTTGCCTTTGATCCCCAGTACCAATAAATAAATAAATAAGTAAACAAATAAATGGCAGAATACCTTTCAAAATTTAACAAAATAATAATAAAATTTGTATAAAAATAATTTTATTACACTTTAAATTGACAGTAAATGCAGCTGTTCCTAGGTATCTGTGGGGATGGGTTCTAGTACCTTCAAAATACCAAAGCCTGCAGAAGCACAAGGCCCTCATGTAAAAGGACTCAATATTTACATATTACCCTTAAGTATATTCTTGTATAGTTGAAAGGATCTTTAGGTTACTTATGATACCTGATACAAAGTAAATGCTATTAAAAAAAGTTGTTAATACTGTATTGTTTCGGGAATCATGACAAGAAAAAGTCCATGCATGTTCAGTTCAGGCACAATTTATTGTTGTAGTTTGTTTTGGTTTTTGTTTTTGGTACAGGGGTTGAACTTAGGCCCTTGTGCTTATGAGGCAGGCAGCAGAACCACTGCGCCAAATCCCCAGCCTGTTGTGTTTTGATTTTTGAGACTCCTGGCTTGCTATGTTGTCCAGGATGGTCTTGAACTGCTATTGTCTATAAATTAGCTTGGGACCTTGTGCTTGCAAGGCGAGTGGTGGCACCACTGAGTTCAATCCCAGGCCCTAACTTTTTTTTTTTTTTTTTTTTTCTTTTTGAGACAGGGCCTTTCTATGTATTCCAGGCTATCTTTGAACTCATGGCAATCCTCCAGCCTCAGCCTTCTGAGTAGCTGGGACTACAGGTACAGATACAGGCCACCATACCCAGCTCAGACAATTTTTTTTCCAATTTTTCAATTTTTTTTCTTTTTTTTCTTTTTTCTCTTTTTTTTGCTAAGTTGCCTAGGCTGGGCTCAAACTTGTAGTCCTCCTACCTTAACCTCTCAGAGTGCTGAAATTACAAGGGCCCACCATGCTGGGCTTTTTCAAATATTTTTCATCTGCAGTTGGTTGAACCTTCAGGTGCAGAGCCCATGGACATAGAAGGCCTATTGTACTTTCAAATGGTTAGAAAATAACACAAATGAAGAGGCAAGTGGGGCAAAGTAAACAACCAATGAATCTGGGTAAAGGATATATGAAAGTGGGCCAGGGATTTAGTTCAGTGGCAACACACCTGCCTCCCAAGCACAAGGTCCTGAGTTTGATCCCTGGTTGGTAAAAAAGGGCATGTGAAAGTTGCCAATTCAAATGGGAAATTATATCAAAATTAAGAGTTAATTGGGGATTTAGCTCAGTGGTGCGGCCACCTGCCTCACAAGTGCAAGGTCCTGAGTTTAATCCCAATACAAAAAAAAAAAAAAATTAAGAGTTAAGGCAGGCATGGTGGTACATATACCTATAATTTGGCACTCAGAAGACTGAGGCAGAAGGATTGCCAGCTTGAAATCCATAGGCTTTCTCTTAAAAAAGTTTAAAAAATGATACTGAAATCCACAAGTTTGTGACAGCTTATGGACAAGAGTATTACCTGATAGTTTCATAACTGTCACCTAACACTTCGTGACAACCTCACTTGCTGAACACTCCCTGTCACAACCACACCAAACAAGCAGAAACTGTGGCTAAGTGATGAGCTGAGCTCCCTTGGGGAGAACTAAGATCAGGAATCAGTGGGAGGGAACAGAGGCACCCCCAGAGTCTCCCACCATTCATTCCTGAGAACCTGTCCCTTGGCAGATGTCAGGAACACCATTCCCTAGTGACCTCAGTTCATTACAATTCTGCCTCAGTGACAGCCATTTTTCTCATTTCTCTACTTCTGTTAGATCCAACAGCTCCTCCATCCATCATCTCACCTTTTCCACCTTGGCACCAAATCGCTTTGTGCCTGGTGGTAGGATTGCTGTTCACGGTGGACACTGGGCTGTATTTCTTTGTTCAGAGAGACCTCCGAAGATCAATGGTAGCCAAGAAAGAGTACAATTTTAAATGGAGTCAGGACCAGGAAAAATGACCCCTTAGCTCCCAGGGTAATAAAAGTAGTGATTCTGCATCTGGAAACCTCTCTCTGGATCTGCGATCTCCTCGTCCACATCTGGCATTTCCTCTACAGCAGGAAAAACACAACTCAGCCAGAGCTCAGGGCACCTCCTCCAGCTCTGTCTTCTTCAAATTCTAATGGGAAGAAAAGGCCTGTGATCTTCGGGGATCCACCATGATACCCCAGGAGTAGCTGCAAGCCCAGGAAATCTCAGAGCTGTATGTTTTCTCTATCCAAATCACAATCTCCCAGAACAGCAACATACTCTGGATGGTCTCTGGACAGTCACCCTTGAAATAGATAAAAAGCCTCATAAATAAGTAGATAAAAGAGTTAATGGGACCAGGGATTTAGCTCAGTGGTTCCACCGCCTGCCTCGCAAGTGCAAGGACCCAAGTTCAAAAACTGGTACCAAAAAAAAAAAGAATGAGGCGGGGCAGCAGAACAGTTTCTGCATCCATTGCTGCAGGGGAAGCCCCAAACTCCTTGCAGACAGAGTGCAGGAACTGCTAGGCAATTAGCAGGACCCAGGAAGAGGATGGCTGAGAAAGAGCAGGGAGCAGGGAGGTATCCAGGACCGACAAGGAGACCCCTCTCAGGGCCCAAAGATAAGGCTCCTCTTTCCAGCAGGAGGCACAGTGGAGTGAAGGGGAATTGTGCAAGTGCTGAGCTTTATTGGGTTGGGGAGGAGGCTCTCTAACAGAATTGGGATGGTCTGAGTATATAGTGATGAATCCTCTTAATGCATTGGACAGAAAAGGAAACGGGCTATGGCTGAGGAGTGGACTCAGAAAAGTACTGAGAAATGGGTGTGTTGTGCTGACAGAGATAGCATCTAACCTCAGAAAACGTCAAGAAAGTGACAACCACATGCTCACAGGAAGCAATGAGCAAGGGGTTAGAGGTTTTTGTTGACCAAGGTAGTAAGAATTAGAGGAGGAGCAGGAACTCTAAAAACCAGCTTTTCTGTTTGCATATCTAATTTAGGTGAAACTTTGTTCATGTCATGCATGAAAAAGATGTTGAAATGACCTGAGCTCCCTGAGTTAAATGATGAGGCTCTACAATCCCTCAGCCGTCCAGTACCAATGGGGAGGGGACGGATATGACAATGGCTGCTTACGTAAAGAAGTGTTAGCTGTCTCTGTGCTTCAGATGTTTTGAACAGCAGTTTTTGCTTTTAATAAAGCATTTTACAACTTCTTGCATGCTACTTTCAGAAGACAGGAGAAACATGGTGAAAAAGCATGAATAAGAAAATCTTTATTCCCTTCTTTTGTCAAAACTCTGTCAGAGAGCCAGGCTTGGGGGCACACACCTGTAATCCCAGAAGTCGGGAGGCTGAGGCAGAAGGATCGCTGTGAGTTCGAGACCAGGCTGGGCTACATAGTGAGATCCAGGTCAGTCTGAATTACATAGTCAGACCCTGTCTCAAAAAAACAAAACAAAAAAATTCTGTCAGAGTGGTGTTTGGATTAATGAGAAAGTCCTCTTCTCTCAGCAACCGCATTACCATAGCAGGCATGGATTAGCCAGCTTGCTTCCCGCATCTCACCTACACAGGAGTGCATGGGGAGTTTTATGTGCAGTGGGGATTACAGGAAGGGAGTAGACAGAAATTAGAGGCATAGGGTAGGGGATTTGACTCAATGGTTCCACCGCCTGTTTCCGCAAGCCCAAGGAACTGAGTTCGATCCCCGGTAAAAAAAAAAAAAAAAGAAAAAAAAAAAAAAAAAGAAAAAAGAAAAAAAAAAGCATTTAATGCATTGGGGCTGGACCGATTCAGGATGTAGGCCCATCTCATTAGTCAGGAAATATAAAGGCAAGGCTGGCACAATTTAGTAGGAAAAATATCTTTGGATTGTTAGTATTGTTCTTACTGCCTTTGATCAGTAAATCTTCATAAAGTGTCGGTTTCATGATGCAATTTCAGTGGTTAATAACAGCTAAAATTTCTACCAAGAGCAACTTTTCCCATCAGCCCACCCACGAATTTTTGAACCACTGAACAAAACTGCCAGTGCGGAGTTGCGAGAATCACACAGTGTAGCGGTGTGCGGCAAACTCTGTCGGTTGGGGTTGAAGGAGGTCTTTGAGTTCACACGATTTATAATATAGCATAGCTCAAGGTTTATAAAATTTCTCCTCGTCCCTGGGTGGGCTCGAACCACCAACCTTTCGGTTAACAGCCGAACGCGCTAACCGATTGCGCCACAGAGACGGGCGGTAAAGTCTCCTACTAAAAGTCAGTTCACGGAACAATAAACCGGCGGCGCTCTGAGCGTCCGGCAACTTGTGACTGGAGTTGTGCGATAAAACCATCACTTTTCACAGCATCGGGTGCGATCGAGGCCGATAATTCCGGCGCACTAGCACCTAGTTAGATCTGAAACAGAACTCAGCTTCTGCTCCTAAGAGGCTGAGAAAAGAGCAGGCGAAGAGGATGAAGGAGCAAAGCGATCTTTGGGGAATCCAAAATAGACGCTGTTGGAGGGGTAGGGAGTTCAGTTGGTTTGCTCAGAAAACTATTTCCCGAGCTTCAACTCCACCTGTTTGAAAGGCACCCAGATAGAACATGGAATTTATTAATGTCTTTAAACTTACAGACCCTTCACACTGACTTATCTGGACCCAAGTACCTAAGGGTTCTACCCTTAGCCTACGGTCATCAACCTAGGGTGCTCAGCAGGGATCCTGAGCCATTTTCTGCACCGCCCAAGTCCCAGACCCTCCACCCCAGCCTCCACACGGAACCTATTTCCTTTCTGCCCTATGGTACTCGGTTCAGCGGTTTTCATTTAGGTACAGGTCAAAGTTTTCTAAGATCTCAGTGAAATTGTAAACATAGATAAGCATGTTGAGAAATTAATACACACATGTAACACATATATATTTTACATTAAACATCTGCATGTATTCGTACTATATATACACACATATATTTGCCAAATAACCTTTTAAAATTTTTATTAGTACATGTTTGTAGTACATAATGATTGCATTAATCATGAGGAGTTGGCGCATACACACATTACCTTCATTCTTTTTACTTCCTCTGCCAAATGAACTTTAAACTGAGAATTTTTTACACTTAAAGTTTTTTGTCTTAAATGTCTTTTTAAAAATAAAATCATAATCACAACAAATAGTAGTTGTTGTGGGTGTGGTTGTTTTGTTAATTCCCTAACTTGGGAAAATGAAAAGCTGATAACCCCATATTGCTAACCAACACTTTTGGGGAGATTTTGCTCATGTGTCAGGTCCAGATTTGGGGACAGCTACTCTCAGCTTGACCTCTTTTGTTAGGCTGGCAGCAGAAATAGGAAGTATTGCTTTTCAGTTTGCTCCAAATACTCAAACAGTTCCTATGCTTCGTTTTAATGCAAATGACAGCAATCTAAAAGAGAAGAAACAAAAAGAAAAAAAATTGTTTTAAAAACCAGCGCAGGGTGGGGGTGAGTAGCCAGTGCAAAGAACAAAGTGGGGTGGCAAGTTAAATATAAATACAAATATATTGGTAATGATAACAACTATAAATGGACAAAACTTTCCAGTTAAAATGCAAAGTAGATTTTTAAAATCTGTTCAGAATATATTGAAACAGAAGTAAGCAGAAAGATTTAATGGAAAAAGATATTCCAGGAATAGTCTAACAGAAAGAAAGATGATATAACCCATATATTTCAGATAAAATAAAGTTCAAGAAACAACACCTCAGTAGGAATGATGATCACTATAACAAAAAATTTAGCTCATGATGAACATATAGTAATTCCAAACATATATGTACCTAATAAAATAGCATTCAAATATAAAATCAAAATTATTGGATTTACAAGGGAAAATAAATGCATCACTACACAGAGAGAATTAACTATACTTCTCTCTGCCCTTGATAAATCAAACAGAAAAAAATGATTAAGTATAGGGACAAAACACTTTAGCAAAGGTGATTTAATAGACAAGATGGAGGCTGTGGGCTCAATGGGAACAGAGGGGAGGTTTGGGGATAAAAACCGCTGAGATGCAAGTACCACTTCTTTCTCTGTCGAATTTCACCTTTATTTTCTGGGACAAGGGTTTTTTGTTTAATTTTTTCTTCTTTAACTTCATAGGGATTAACAATATTCATTTTAATAGTAGAAAGGAGGGCCAGGGATTTAGCTCAGTGGCATCACTCCTGCCTCGCAAGCTCAAGGTCCTGATTTTGATCCCCGCTACCAAAAATAATAATAATGATAGAAAGGATAACTAATGCTTGCTCATTGCCAGGTACTGTTCTAAACATGCATTAACTCTTTGAGAATTGTAACTATCGTCATTAACTTCTGTGACAGATGAGCAAATGGAGACAGAGTCAGGATTTAAACACAGGAAGCACGAACGAGCCCACACACTTCACCACCACACTGCATTGGTCCATTTGGCCTAATGTTTGGGCTCAACCCAATAATACATGGGATGCCAGGAAATGATTTTTATGCAAAAATGACAAAATACTGTATAGAAAACCTTCGGACAATATTTGAAAGGTGAGAGAAATCATGAATGAAATTGCTCTTTATTTTTACACAATGTTTGAGAGAAACATGACATCGTATAGTAGAGAAACTCATATCAGTGGGACTACTTCTACACATTTTGATTTTATTCTCATTTTACAAGAGTGCAGCATGGGGCCGGGGATTTAGCTCAGTGGTTCCAGTGCCTGCTTCACAAGCACAAGGACCCGAGTTTGAACCCTGGTAACCTCCCCGCTCCAAAAGAGCACAGAATGGATATTGCTCAGTGGCTCCACACAAGGTTCTGAGTTCAATTCCTGGTAAAAAAACAAAAAACAAAAAACACAAACAAACAAACAGCAAACAGTGTGATGAGAAAACATGAATATACAGGATGTGCACAAGTCTTCAGTTGTCCTACCATATTGGATCAAATCCCTGTGAATGTACAAATTTCTCATTTATAACCTTTGAACACCCCTCATGTCATGGAAACATACAAGTAAGTAACATGAAAATCTGATGTCAAATATTTTTGTATAAAGTGATTCAAAAAATACCAGAGGAGATATTCTAAAGTATCAATAGAATGTGTTCAACAAAGAAATTACTCTTAAAATAGATATTTGGGTTATGCATTTGTAAGTTCACTTGTAGAATAAATGCTGAACAATAGTATAAGAGTTTTATACTGTCTTTTTTTTTTTTTTTTTTTTTTTTTGTAGTACCAGGGATCAAACTCACGCCCTTGTCCTCAAAAAAGCAGGGTAGCAGAACCACTGAGTCAAATCCCCACCCTTATTGTCTTTTAATCTAATTAGAAGATCATGTTAGATCCACAGGTGAATTGCAGTGTGCTCCTTTTTTTTTTTTTTTTTTTTTGATACAGAGTGTGGCTATGTAGTTCAAGCTGGTCTCAACTTGGAGTGATCCTCTTTCTTCAGCTGGATGAAATGTGTTTCTTATATACCAATTAACATAGTATTTATGTAATTTGTTTTAGTAATTGTGAGGTACAAGGACATTTAAAACTGAATTTTTGTTCATTGTTAGGATTTTTCTACTAGCTTTTATTTAATTCTTGGTACATGCACCTCATTTTTCCTTTTTAGTAACAAAATAATTTTTATTACATGTTATATTTTATAATTATAATGTATACTTTAAAAAGATTTCTGTATATATGTTTTTGACAGAGGTCAACTGTTTTCAAAGAAGTTGTAGATTAGCAAACATCATGCTTTCCATAATCTGAGAAGATATATCTGTATGTACCTCAACATAATTATAGATTATATCCAATTGATAGAAACCTCATGGGGGTGGCTAGAAAGTTCAGTTTTTTGCTTTCTAACCTCCACGGTAGAGGAAATGAGATCAAAATGAGGCTGGAATGGGTGGTGAGCAAATCCAAATATCCATTACAATGAGCAATACAATGAATAAAAATCAAACTTAAACTACAACAAATAGGCCAGGGTGGGAGGTGGGGTGAGAACTAGACAATGGGGTGGCTACAGATGTGGGTAAACTGGATAAGCTATGACAAAGGTATGTTCGTGTGTCTGCTCTTAAAAAACAAACTGAAACAGGGTTGGCAGACTCCAAGTCACAAGCTGTATCTCACTCTTTTCCCATCAAAAGCTTATAGAAAACTTAATGCAATTTCAATCATCTGTAACATCCAAGGCTTTCTCTTTGGGTTCATGACTGATGTCTCATGATCTAAGTGAGTCTAGAGTCAGAGCTGTTCTGGAAATCAGAGTGAGGCAGTACATAGTTGAATATAAAAACATAAGCAGGAAACTCCACAAGGGATAGCAGACTAAGGCATTAGTTTACAACCATTCGCAATATCAACAGG